ACACACACACACACACACACACACACACACACACATACACACACACACAAGTGGCAGGCTATTAAATGGACAGATTCTCTAGGACAGTGGAAATATAAAGTTATATCTTTTGTCACAGAGTATCAGAAATTTTCCAACCCAGTTTTAATAATTCTAAGCCAATTCCTAGTCAAGTGCAGGCTGTTTTAGCTAATACAAAGCTTAATGATGTGTATCCTTTAGCCACTACAGAATCTACCCAACAGATACTTTTTATATCTCACACTTATCTCTCTTGGACAAGAATTCAATTTTCCATAATGGAATTCTGCTGTGGATATTGCTCTGTATAAATAAAATGCTGATTGGCCAGTAGCCAGGCAGGAAGTATAGGCGGGACAAGGAAAGAAGAGAATTCTGGGAACAGGAAGGCTGAGTCAGACAGACGCTGCCAGCTGCCATGATGAGAAGCAACATGTTAAGATACCGGTAAGCCACGAGCCACATGGCAACTTATAGATTAATACAAATGGGTTAATTTAAGATATAAGAACAGTTAGCAAGAAGCCTGCCACAGCCATACAGTTTGTAAGCAATATAAGTCTCTGTGTTTACTTGGTTGGGTCTGAGTGGCTGTGGGACAGGCAGGTGAGAGAGATTTGTCCTGACCGTGGGCCAGGCAGGAAAACTCTAGCAGAAGTTCTAAGAGAAATATATAAACCTCTCATGCCATAGCATTGTATACTAGGAAAAGAGTAGGTTAGAAGGCAGAAGAAGAGAAAATGGTTTTTGATAAGCATTAAGAAGGGGACACAGGTACAAGGTACATAGGTGCTGGGGTTGTAATTTAGAGGATATAGTGGTTTAGATAAGAATGGCCCCCACAGACTGATGTGTTTGAATGCTTAGGGAGTGACACTATTTGTTCCAGTAGATGTGCTCTTGTTGATGGAAATATGTCACTGGGGTGTGGGCTTTGAGGTTTCAAAAGCCCATGCCAGTCCAAGTGTCTCTCTTTTTCTGCTTCCTGAGGATTCAGATGTAGAAATGTCAAGCTATTCCTCCACCACCATGTCTGCTTGCATGCCACCATGCTTCCCTCCATGATGATAATGGACTAAACCTCTGAAATTGTAAGCTAGTCCCAATTAAATGCTTCCCTTTATAGTTGTGATGGTCATGGTGTCTGTTCATAGCAATAGAACACTGACTAAGGTACCAGGGAATGGGGTATTGCTGTGACAGGCCTGGTCATGTTGTTTGTTGGAAGAATGTGGATTTGGGGACTTTGGGTTAGGAATGAAGTTGAATGCTTTGGCATGGCTTAATGGGCCAAACTAGCAGAAGCATGGAAGACAGTGGTACTGAGAGTAATATGTATATTATGACAGCCAGCTCAAGAGGCTTCAGAGGAGAATAATAATAATAAATGGCCAAGAGACTATTCTTGTGATATTTTGATGAAGAATGTGACTGTTTCCTGCACGTGTCCAAAAAAATCTGTCCAAGGCTAAATTGAAGAGTTTTGGATTAACAGCATTGGCAGAGGCAATTTCAAGACAACCTGGTATCGATTGTGTTGCTTGGTTATAAATGGCCACTACTAGGCAGATCTATAATGAAAAGGAGCAAGTTAAGCAAGGAAAAATACAAAATGTAGAGTTTTAAGAGAAAAGAAGCACCTCAAAATATAAGGAAGGTAAGGCCAGTGGTCAAGGAGATTAAAAAGTTTAAAGAAAAGCCTGATTCTAATAAATAAAGGGAGTGATGACCTCAGGGCATGACCTCACCCACCTTGGCTTCCAACTTGTGAAAAGGAATTAGATAAAAGTTTAGGCAGTGAAGGGAACCATTCAAAACAGAAATCGTGTGTGTGTGTGTGTGTGTGTGTGTGTGTGTGTGTGTGTACACAAACTATATTTATTTATATTTATATTTATATTTATATTTATATTTATATTTATATTTATATTTATATTTACACAAGGGAGCCATGTTCCAGCCCCTGTAAGCAGCAGAACTTGGCAGCTTTGGCCATATGGTTCTGGCTTTAGAGTCAAGGATACAAGAAAGAGGTTATGGAATCTCTCTTAATGACTAAGGGAAGCCACTGAGGGCAGGCATGTGTCAGGGGTGTCTCGACATGGAGGCTCAAAGAGGCCATTGCGTGAAGCTGTGATGGTTAAGAATCCTGGATTGCCTTGAAGACCCCTCGATAATCGAGATGCCAGAGGCATTCTATTCCTGCTGAGTAGAGCTGATAAATGGGTATGGAATCAGGCCAAGAGAGAGAGAAGTATGTTGTAGTCAACAAAGCTGAGAGGAGTTGGAGATCTGAAGAGTACTTTGACATCAGACATGAAGAGGCAGAGTTTGGAGTTTTCCCTGCTGGTTTTTTATCTTGCTTTGGTCCATTATTTCTTCACTATGCCCCTTTACTTCTTTTTGGGGTCATAATGTATATTCTATGCCATTGTATGTTAGAAGATCTGCTCTTATATTTTGATTTTACAGGGTGTTACATTTAAGAGATTTCTTCAAGTCTCAGAAGAGGTTTTTGAACTTTGGACTTTATTGGGACTGTTATAGACTATGGGGATTATTGAAGTTGAAGTGGATACATTCTGCATTATGATATGGCTACTGGCCTATGAGGGCCAGGGAGTGGAATGTGTTGGTTTGAATAAGAATGGTCCCCATAGACTCATATATTTGAACACTTCCCTTTATAAGAGTTGCAATGGTCATGGTCTTTTCACAGCAATAAAACACTGGCTAAAACAGAGGGTAAAATATTAATTTTCAGTGGCCTTTTTCCTTAACAAGTATGAAGTAAAGTGATCAATTAGGAGTGACTGGTCAGAGGCAGGTCATAGGAGGAATAAGGAGAGGAACGCTAGGAAACAGATGGATGGAAAACACATCTAGAGAGAAAAAGCATACAATTCTGAACATGCTAAATGTCTCCTGACAGATAAAATATTTGTTTTCTAAGGAAGTAGAGGTTCAGGCTGCTTAAATATGTTGATTTTAGACTCAACTTTTTCTTTGGCTTCTTATCATGGTATTCCTTTGAAGTAACTGTGATTATGGACTACAAGAAGAAAGAGTTTTGTTGTTAATTAAGTGCTCTACACAAAATAAAACCATTGCCACATACTAACCAGCTTCCAATACTGATATACTCTTTACTATCCAGAAAGTTCAGTAATGCCTAGGATTGATACCTCATGCCATGTACTCCATAATTTTTGCTTATTAGTCCATTGCTGCTGAATCATGGAAATAAAGTCCTCCTAAATGACTGGCTAATATAAGTAACATACTATTGATCTAATATTATAAAACACATTCCTTCCATTATATACATACCATCGAAGATGCCTACTAACAGAAAAACCAAGAGGATTCAGAAAAAGTCTGGAACATTTATATATATACTGGGCATCTAAACCAATAGAGCCATTGGAAACTTGCTAGAATATATAATCATTCTGCAGGTCTAAACAACTGTCCTTTTATATGTCAAAGAGAGTTTCTGTATTAATCAACACCTTTTCAAGGCAGAAAGTGTTTACTTATAAAACTAGAAACCAAAAGATTTCATTAAAATAATATACATTCTTCATACAAACTTGTGGAAAACACCTCTTTGGCAGCATGTTATAGGGCTATTCTTACCTGAATCATGTGAATAAAGTCCCACTTTTGAGGTTCTTCTTCCAGCACTCGTTTCTGATATTCAGATGATGTCTCCTTGTGCCAAGCAAACTTTATGTTCTCCAGGTTGGATGTCTTGGCTACAAGCTCTAAAATACCCAGAAAAGATGGCCTATAATCAATTTTAATTTAATTATATATGGAACCCATTTTCATATAGGATGTTAATGCAATAAATGTTATAGGACCGTGATGGCTCATCTTGGTTGTCAACTTGACTATGTCTGGAATCAACTAACACCCAATAAACTGTGGAGGGTTTTGAAAATTAGCCCTAAATCCAAAACATTTGAGGTCAGAAGACATGCCTTAAGTCTGGGCCATACATTCTAGTGGCAGTCCATGTAAATGGATGTGAAAAAGGAAGCTTTTCACTTTTTGCCTGCCTGCCTTCACTCCCGCTGGCAAGTAGTACATCTATCCTGCTGCCAAGGCATTTCTTTACTTTTATAACTTTATAAGTAGTATAAAGCATTTCTTTGGGATTCCAACACAGACTTTTGCTTGTTGAACTAGCAAGACCACAGCCTCTAAGGCGCTCTTCTACACCCCATTTTAATAGCTATAGAATAGGCCTATCAGTTCTGTTCTACTACACAACCCTAATACACGGACTTAAAAAATAAAAGGCACATATTTTTCTTTACTATGTGGCTCAGGAAATCAGGTTTGTCTAGACATTTTTTTTTGTACGTGACAAAATTGGAGGAGAAAGGAAAAAACTAAGAAGTAAATTTGAGAATATATAGGTTATATTCTCAGTATAAATATTAAATCAACTGCAGAATTTTATGAATAGGGGCTGGAAAGATGGCTCAGAGGTTAAGCGCACTGGCTGCTCTTCTAGATGTCCTGAGTTCAATTCTCAGCAACCACATGGTGGCTCATAACCATCTTTAGTGAGAGCTGGTACCCTCTTCTGGCACGCAGGCACACATGCAGGCAGAACGTTGTATACATATAAACAAATCTTAAAAAAAAAGAAAAGAATTTTATGAATAGAAATTTATATAAAACAGATTAATGAATGAAGTCAATAAAGGAATTCAAGTATTCACTGTTAGTAGTTTCAGATGTTCATTACTGCCTGCCAAGAATTAACTAGGTTTTTCTCCAAATAAACTTACCAAATACATAGTTGTCAGTGTGCTATTAACTATTTGAGGCACACAAAAGAAACTCACAAACAAAATGAGAAGATAAGTCTCTGGAGATAGAATTTAGCACACACCTTTGTACTTGACAATTTGCTCAGCACTTGGCTCAACAACTTCATTGTTGATACAGATTCCTGGGTATTGAGCCTGGACTTTGGAAAGAATCTGAAGGTCAATTTCACCTAGAAGGTAAATAAATAGAGCAGGTTATACTGAATGTAGTAATTAAGAACAACTTGGACTGATTTACTTTCTGACTTATATTTAAAAAGATTTGCAAAAAGATAAACATTCAACTGTTGTATTGCCTAAATATCTACAATGTACAAACACTATATTTCAATTAGAAATAATAATTTGATATGAGGAGGGGGTAGGAATAAAATTCATTTATTAATTATTTCATTCACATAATCTTCATTCATATATCTATTACTATGCTTTGAGTTACAAAGTTGTCACGGACCATAGGAGACAATCAATAAGTTTTGTAGTAGTCAAGTATAATTTTAAATATCTGTCAGTTGAAAGACATATTTAAGCCAAAGTTATTAAAATATGAGGAAAACACAACTTAGAACTGATAACTAATCTAGTTCAAAAGAACACTTAAAAAAAGATTTAAAGTAGAAAGCTAAGTGATGTATTTAGAGAATACAAAAATATCTCAGCAATTTCTCTTCATGTGCTCCTTTTTCAGCAAAATGAAAAGAGAAGTTCAAATCTTCCCTTGTCCTGTAGCTTAGTCTGAAGTGTTTTGTGGGGCTAGAGAGATGGTGCAGCCATTAAGATCCTTTACAGCCATTGCAGAGGACCAGAATTTGGTTGTCAATATCCACAATGGCTCATGACCATCTGTAACTCCAGTTTCAGATTTACCTTTTCCCTCTTCTGGCCTCAAAGGCACCAGCCATGCATGTGGTACACATACATTCATACAAAACACTCAAACACACAAAAACCAGTGTTTCATCATGAGCATTATCATGGAGCCTTCACCTAAGCTGTTCATTACCTCTAGTCACTATGCTTTACAACTTCCTTATTCACCTTCCCTGGCTTATCAAATGTTTTCGTAATAAACAAATCTTTGCTTTCTCTTTTCAGTTCAACTAGCACTGCCCCTGTTCTGACTGAAACCATCCAGTTCCAAGAACAGAGCAATAACATCTAAAGGAAAGGACTCTCACTCTATGCCACCATTGTAGGCTCAAGTGGAAGCCAATCTGGGGGCTCTGTTGGTATGACTCAGTTTCTTCCCCCTCCCCAATGCTCAAGCTCATGCAGGAACAGCATCTGTGAGTACTCTTGCTGAGGCCAACCCAGGACCCTTATTTCATAGCACTGCTGCCGCCTCTATTCTGCCTCTCAAGGCCAATGTAGAAGCTATTTCTGTAAGGTCTCCTGGCCAGGCCCAGGCAGGATCCATATCAAAATGATATCCTGTTGATTCTGACCCAGGTCCAGCTGCTCTTTAAACCCTGAGTGCTGCCCTGCAAGCCCCATGTCCAGCCAGAAGCCATGTTCTTCCATGCTTTTCCAGGGAGCCCTGGCCCCTTTCTGTGAGATAGGAACTACCCTAGGGGACTTTGCTAGACTTCAACCAAGCAATCTTACCTTAAGACTCCTGTATAACATTAATTGCTAGTTAACTGGAATCACCCCCAGGATCTCCAATCAATAATCAACACTGAGCAGCTGAAGGACTGACCTGATCACTCCTCCCACCCGAACCGAAATCAACCAAGTATCTCTAGCCAAAACAAGCAGGTCAAAATCTCCTATCAGACCTGCAACCAATGAAATAAATCCACATGCCCCAGTTCCACACAAAAACACAAACAACAGGAAAGATCAATAAAATACAGTCCCCTTAAAGACCAATGGTTGTGTAGAAATATTCCCCAACAGGAATGACCTAGAAGAATTTCTGAACACAAAATTTAAAAGAACAATCATAAACATCATTAAAGAATTCAAGAATAAGACACAAGCAAACATGTGGGTGAACATAAGGAGGACAGAAATAAACTTTAATTGAAGTTCTAGAAAATACAATTTGCTGGATGAAATTACAAAGACAATATAGGATTTGAAAGTGGAATACAATAAAAAGGCAGAAATATTGAAGAAAATTCAAGCTGAAATGAAGACAGAATTGAAAAATTCAAAGATCCAATTAGAAAACTTAAGGGTGAGCCCTTACTGTGGAACGGACCAAGTAGAACACACAATAGCAGAACTGGATGATAAGGTAGACAGATTGAAGCAGTTAATAAAAGAAAATGATAAATTTTTTAAAATACAGGAAAGGAATATTCAGGACATCATACAAAGTGAAAGTGTATTCACTACAGGCAGAGAATGAAAAGAATGCCAGGTCAGTGGAATAGACCAGATTTTCATCACCACAAACGGGGAAAACTTCCTTAAATTAAGGAAAGACAGAGCCCTGGAGATGCAGGAAGCACATAAAACACTAAGTAGACACACATACAGAAAAAAGTCTCCCAATATTGTATTATAGTAAAGCACTAAACATGTAAAGAAATGATATCAAAAGCTGCCAGAGAAAAATCAGGAGTCACATGTAAAGGAAAACCCATCAGAATAACAGCTGACTCTTCAATGGAAACTCTAAAAGCCAGATGAGCCTGGAGCATTGTACTTAAAGTTCTAAAAGGCCTTAGATGCCAACCAGAGAATTTTATCAAGCGAAGCTATGATATTTGAAGGAAAATGAAAAACTTTCCATGTTGTGTTAAAACAGGCTAAAGGAATTCATGTTCACCAAACCAGCCCAACAGAACAGTGTAAGCGATGCTTTAGGCTGCAGAGACAAATAAGCAAAGCCAAGAAACCATAGAAAACATGAATGAAGCTATAATTACTGAAACACAAAATGGGATTAATACAAAAAGCAAAGAAGTACAATGAAATAACATTTAATACATACCTTTCGATAATAACTTTAAATATTAGTGGCTTCAATCCCCCAATCACAAAATACAGATTAGTTGGACAGATTAAGAAAAATCCAGCTATTTATTGTCTACAAGAAATTCATATAACTCAAGGCATCGCCTTAGAGTGAAAGAATAGAACAAAATGTATTCCAAGGAAATGGAACCAAGAAACAAGCAGGTATCACTATTTTAGTAGCTGACAAAAATAGACTTCAAACAAAATTAACCAGAAGAGATAAAAAAAAAAATAATTATTTTGACCAAGGGAACAATTAAAATAAGGAGACATTACAATCCTAATCATATATGCATCAAACTCTGGTTCATCCCATATCATAAGAAGCTACTACTGACTTGAAGACACAGATAACTTGTTACAATAGACAGGTCATCTGAAGAAAAAGTAAACAGTGGAACATCAGAACTAAATGATATCTACATCCAATCAATCTAACAGATATCAGTAGACTGACTATTCCATCCAAATGTCAGAGAATATTTTCATGCAGCAGCTCTGGAACTAAAATAGACTACATTCTAGAACACAAAACAAGTCTCAACAAATACAGTGAAACTGAAGTAATTCTGTGTCTCCTGTCTCACCTCAGTACAGTAAGGCTTGAAATCAACAGCAAAAGAATTTCTAGAAATTACAAAATTCATGGAGATTAAATAATATACTACTGAATGATGAAAGGGTCAAGTAAAAATCAAGAAGGAAACAAAAAATTCCTGGTAATAAATGAAGTGAAAGCACAACACAACAAAATTTATGGGACATAATGGTAGTTTATAAATTATTTTCTGTTAGAAACAGTTCTAGGAATCTACACACAAAGCTTGCAGTTAGTTTCTGCCTATATACTTGCCATACAACAACATTATTGTTCCCAGCCTTGGAAGCTCAAAACTACTTTCTTCCTTGTTTCTCTCAAATTTCTTTACAAATCAATTGTTCTGGCTAGGCAGTGGTGAAATCCAGGACAGCACCAAAAACTACACAGAGAAAACCTGTCTTGAAAAAATAAAAACAAAAAAAACATTTAAAAAAAGAAATTTCTTTATACACAGGAGTATCAAGCTGCTGCTTTGAGGTACTTCTCAGGGAAGTTTCTCTTACATGACAGACACTGAATCAATAAATACTGACATGTATTTCTCTTACTAATCTGTCTTTCCGTACGAGGGTCCATACAGCTAAGAACTCAGGGGAGGTAAGGGAGGGCAATATTTACATCCCCTACAGTGCACTATCACATAAAATACACAACAGGGTTTTGAAAAATGTAAGGATTGCCAATGGGGCACTTCTAACACATAAGTGCAATAAATTATTACAACACCTTATGGAATTCTCCAGGGCAAACGATGAAAGTACAAAGGTTAAACCATAACTAATAAGGAAGCAAGAGTACATGCAGAGGGGTGTGCAGGGAGCACTATGGAAGAGATAACCCTTGGCACAGTCTATGTGCTTAATGTTAGCTCTCTGATGGTTTTTAAATCATTACCCTAGAATTTTAACATTATTTGGAATAACTGGTAGGTGTCTGCATAATGTTTATGGCTGAGATTCCCTTTAATAAATAGAATTACTGAAGGCAATTAAGACTGTAATGAAAATTAGATCTGAGTTTGTGTTTCAGCTCTCAACTCTGCTACCTTCTACCAGTTGATAAATATCTTAAACCCTTTAAGATCGCAGGCATCTGAACATGAGCTTCTTCAGTTTTAAATGAAGCCCCCAAGAGATTCTAGGAAAATAAAACATAGTAACACCTAGAAAGTGTCAAGTAATGTTCTCACAAAATAACAAACCTATAATAGCTCTCCTAAAAGTAAAGTGTATAGATAACTACTATAGCATATAAAGAATGAGGAAACATTTAAAAATGTCTTGGTTACTAGTCAGGTGTAATGGTGTATATTTGTAACCTGAGCACTAAGGATGCTATGAGATGTCTTTCTGTATGCTGTGAATATGTATTGCTCTCATTGGTTGATAAATTAAGCTGAATTGGGCTATGGCAAGATAGCACAGAGGCAGGTGGGAAATCCAAGCAGATATACAGAGAGAAGAAAGGAGAGGAGAGAGAGGCACCAGCTGTCGCTGCAGATTGGAAGGAGAAGCAACACGTTAGCAGACCGGTAATGCCACAGCCACATGGCAAAACATAGATTAATAGAAATGGGTTAATTTAAGATGAAAGAGCTAG